TTAGATGTTGATAACATTTTTATATGTTAACTATAACAGCCAGTCATGAAGACTAGATGCAGTCGTGAAAGACTGGACACTTTCTATTCTTGAGAAGATATTTTTGATAGAGAGACATCTAAATTGGCACAAAAAGCGCAAATTTATTTCGATAGTTTCATTGGTATGTTTTACATTTTGAAAACAGGAATTACAGCAAATAGCAACTTTGCAAAATAGATAAGCTAATCGAAAACTATAAATGCAAAATATTAAGGCCTGGTTCAAACTGAATCTATTTCGGTTCTTCGTCCTTTTGACGATTAATTTACATTGCAGTTCCAGACTCCTAATATTGTGATTCGTTGAAACGTTATACAATTGCTTGAGTAATTAATGTTTAACACGAATTCTGTGAGAGCTATTAATTTTAAACTGATGGAATTTAGTGATATTTATAAACCTTTGCGGCGCGCTATCCGTTAACGTCGGAATTTCAACAAAAAAAGTTGCATGCAGTCTATTTAGTCCTAAAGGAGTATGCAGGTAGAATTTTATAAAAAATTACACTTGCCGTTTTAATTCTGTGGGTGTTCCATGAGGTGGAACACTGCGCCGCCAGAGCAGTGTTCTGCTGCTCTGGCGACTAAGCGAGCATTGCAGTGAAGCACGAAAATGAGTAGAAGCGTTTGTATAAGAATGAAAAACTCTGTATTATGGCTGTATACATTGTTTCTAGGATATACACAATATTCTTGAATATATACGGATAAATGAGATAAATATCTATATACACAAGTCCTATATACAAAAATATTTACAAATTTTCCTATTTCTTAGCTTCGTGAAATTGTTAAAGGAAAATCACACCTTTCTGATGGAAGCACAAACCAACTACGATTAAAATAATTAACTACGATTAATATTAATAATAAAGGAAAAATAAACCTATAATATATACATACACGAAAAATATCTACTCAATTATTGAAAATAAAGAGGAATGAGACTAAAAAAGCGACAGCAAAAAATTCGCGCAAGTCTAAGTAAAGATGAGTCAAGCTACTAATAAAATCCCCGCCTAAAAACTACTCCCAAAAAATTCGAGATGCCAATATTAAGGCTTTCATAGCACAAAACACCACCTCACCCCTCAATACTGCTTTGTTTGAATTCATTCCCCCCCAAAAAACAACGGAAACAGAAGACGTAAACAACGGATGTTCTCTCCTAAGCACAGATGTTCTGATTCGTAACAGCATGAGATCGCTAAAGGCGCAGAGTTCCCGCTAATGGAACACCCGGTTTTATTCAATGATTCTGCGTATGGTTTTTCTATGAAAGATTAAAGAAAAATATAGAACAAATAATTTGGAGTACAGCCAGCAAAATTATGCCTAATTTTTTTCCAAATAAAATTTTTTTATATCATTACAAAAATAGAGAAAATTACTTAAAAAAAATGGATTTTATAACACGTAATAAGTGAAAATTCTGTGTCTCCTTGTGATATGCTGCTATCTACTGTTTAGAAAGAAAAGTTCAAAGTATATTATAAAGGCATTTTTATCTATTTACGGTTGAATAAAGGTTTGAGAAGCGATTAAATTTGGGTGTTCCATGCAGTGGAACACTGAGACACAAAGGGATAGAAAGCAAATTACTGTTTGCAGAATGGAAAGGGAAATCTCTAAATTAGTTATTAAATTGAAAAGACTATTGTAAATAAATTTAGTACCTTACCTATTTTTCAATCTTACGTAAATAAAAATACACTGCCCTGCAAATGTTAAGGAACAGCAAGTTTTCTGGCTCTAGTTCGAGAATAAAACAACATAGAAACAGGAAATTTACAGGACATGTTCACTAAACAGTTCTTTAATGAATGCAACATAGAATGTTTCTAAAGTTCAGCCACAAACATGAATTACAAAAAAAAAAAATTGCACTCTTGGCAGAGAAATCCGGTCTTTTTGAGGAAAAATGGGGTGATAAACATTTTAAAAACGGGTTCTAATAACGTATGTATCCGCCCCTAGCTGCAATATATTGACAGTAGCAATCAATTAAATTATGGGTCAGTGAAATGGGAAGCAACGACCAGACAAGGCCTGATCCTTGTTCGAGCTCGTCTAACGATCTTGGAGAAGGACTTACAGGAGTAACCAACCTGTCTTCCAATGTAGTTCCAAAGACGCTCTATCGGATTCATGTCTAGAGATTGAGCTGGCTATTTCATCCGCTCCGTACCGTCACCCTCAAAATATCTTTAGAAACCGGATCTCGGTGCGGCCGTACATTTTCGTCCATCAGAAGAAATCCAGGACCAATAGCAGCGGCATATTGATCAAGGATCTCGTTTCGATATCTCATACCGGTCAAAGTTTCCCCATGGAACACATGCAGGTCAGTGTGACTACAAAGAGAGAGATCCCAGCCCAAACCATTATTCCGCCACCCTTGGATCTATCTTTCCACAATGTGAGATTGGTTGTATTTGGTGTGTTCCCTCCAGATCAGCTGACGACCTGAATTATTTTCCAATGTGAGTTCTTGCCCAACGTAAAAGAGCACCTTTGTGTCCTCGGGTCAATGGGATACAAACAACTGGTCGTCTTGTATACAGACTTGTATTGCACAGGCGTCGGCGCACTGTAATAGCTGAGATTCTTACTCCTGCTGCCACTGAATGAACTGCCATGAGCTGCGGCACAGAAATGTTGTTCATCCTTCTGCCTGAAAGAGCTAAATAATGGTCACCAGCAGGTTTTGCAACTCTAGGTCTGCCTGAAACATGTTTCTAGACACAGAATCATAGGATGCAAACTGATTCCATTTCCAGTTGCCCACACTAGAATGAGACTGAGACGTCTAGCAGCATTAGCTTGTGACATCCCCATTTCCATCCCTCAGATCGCCCGCGACCTCAACGAATCTTTTAAATGAATTCTCTTGGATATTTCCGCGTAACTATTATAACAATTGAAGGTCAACAATCATGAAAAAAATTAGAATTTTTTTCATTTTTTCTCCAACTCCTATATAAGTATTCATTTCTATAAAATAAAAGCGGTGGCTATTATTTTTGCATAAACTTTCTTAAACTTCGTTACTGTCATGCATTTGAACTTAATCGTTACTGTCATTTTTGTAATGGTGAGTTTTGAAAAATATGTTGTTCCCTAATTTTTGGAGAGCAGTGTATTATATACAGCAAATAGTAATGAAGAGAATAATCACTACGTTATAGAATGAAAAGTTAACAATCAGGCTACGGCATCAAGGAGACGTTATTCAATAATATTATACACAATTTGCATGCAATATAATTGCAATGACAATAATTTTCAGATGAGCATGTGGATGCTGCATACACAATTGGGTGAACGACGATTTTTTAAGAACGATTGGCAGTTCTTGGACATCCAGAGATCCCTTTTATTTAAGTACATATTTTTGGAAAATATATAACATAGCAGCACATTCACAGATTTAAAAAAAAAATCATAGAACTGCTATTAACTATAGAGTAAAACCAGGGTACATGACTGCACAACACAGCGATAAGCTAGAGAAAATATGTAGAGAACCACGTTGAATTTATACCAGGATAGAAAAGTTACGGTTCTGAGATTTTCTATTGATTAATTAAAGGTTCTGTTTCCAAAATTTAACATTATTATACGGAAGAAGACTCTTTAATACTTTCATTTAAAATATAAGTATTTCTACACTGAGTACATGCAATCAAGGTCGGGATTAATCGGCCATGCAGAAACACTAATGTTTGATGTTTCTCACGTGACTGCTACTCAAAGATATCAGTCAGAAGATGGATGCTAAAAAGTGCGCTGGTGTTACACAGCACGTTTGTGAAAATGACTTTTTTCAACGTGAAAACGGGCGTGGGACACACGCCTGTTTACCTATGTTAAACACCAGGCGTCCCCGTCCTCCATCACCTGTCACCTGGTGTTACACAGCCGAAACGTTTGTGAAAATGACTTTTTTCAACATGAAAAGTAGGTACCTTCATTGAGATGCCATCAGCATTATACGTACGTACTTCTCTGCATATAATACCTCTGTTGTACTGATCAGAACACAAAACCGTCTTTTTACCATTTTTAGTTCATTTTCTGTATTAATCTCGATTTATTCAGATAAAAATCAAATATGTCACTGATATTTTAATATTTTTAAATGTTTAGTCTGTAAAATTCCGATTTGCTTGAAATATTTAATTTAATAAATAAATTATAATACGTCTTTTCTTTTTCAAAATATGAATTTTAGTGGAAAACGTTATGGCTAGAAACAACTCATAGTATACTAAACATCCTGTTTTAAAAACATAGCTTCAAAAGGCATTTAATAGGGAGAAAAATGTGATCAATGCATTACGTTTAAATTTAAACTAGAAATAAGATATCCCTATAAACGGATTAAAACATATCATGCTTTTATAATCACACATCATTACAGCATACTTAGAATCCCAAACGCAAAATCAAGAAATGCTATTTTTCTAAAGGCACTGTAAAGCTTTGTCAAGAAAGGAAAAGAAAATATTTCTCTGAATATATCCATAACAAGAAACCGATGTAACTTCTTGTTTCTATGAATTCTTGATAGAAGCTGTCAGAAGTAGATACACATAAGAAAAGTCTCACATTCGACATTTCTGCGATTTTTTTTTTTCGCTTTTCAACCTAAAATCAGATGTCAAAAGAATGTCGTAAGGGATACGAAACCTGAGTATTCAGTAGTATAAGTAGAGTGTAACGTGTATTCTAATACGCTTTTTTATTATTCTTTCAAAGGCATCGAATAATATTTATTAAAAAAAGATAAACAATTTTCATATAATAACTTTGCTAAACAAATACCATTTGTTTAAGTTACTATAAGTTTTGTTAGAGTTCGGCATTTTGAAATACATTTAACATGTCTAAGCTTAATAGTAAAGCAATTTATATCAATATCTTTTTATTTAATTGACACTTCATTTTCTTTTGCAGATACATCATTTACAGAAGATGAGAAATCCATGAAAAGTAATGTATTGTTTTGATGTTTTACTATTAAATGAGTATTGCACGTATTTAAATATGTATAAGTGATTATAAGGTAATATGTGCTTAAAATGTTGCCTTCTCGAATAAATGAATCTAGAATGCAGATGTTCATAGAAAATATGTCGATATTTTTTTTTTTTTTTTGTTGTTGTTTTTTTGGAACCAGGTAAAATATAATATTTCCTCACTGCTGATTTGCTGGGATGACTAAAATTTTATTTCTTTGATTTTTAAGAAGATATTAAATTCGATTGCTACGCTACCGTTCGAAAGTTAAGAAGCCGGCTTATTTTACTGCAAGAGGTTTGAATCAAGTAAAAGAGAATTATGAAAAATGATTTCAGTGTTGATCATACGATAACTTGTTGTTAAAAATGTTCTGCATTTGATATATTTGTGGAAAATATTAATTGTGACAATCAGATAGCACAGGATTAATGATTTATTGAGAAAATATTACTTTAAATTTGTACAGAAAAAAAAACATTGTATATGGCATAGATTTCGACAAAAAACTCAATCGATTTCGAGGGCAACTTCAACGCATTTTCAGTTTGTGAAAAAGAAATTTTTGTTATTGTTTTCTTGAACTTATTTGACTTGCCAGAATCTCTAAAATGATCCATCCCGAGGTTTACAACCATCATCGCGAGAAAATTTCCGTCTTTCGTAATGCTACATCATTTTGTTTCCCCTTTCGAACTTTATGTTGCAAGTTCTCTATATTTTTAAGCGTTAGGATAATTCTAACAACGTTATCATCTTCTTCTTCATCTTCAATATTTCCCACATGCAGAAGTCTATATTTCGAATGGGCGACATTGACAGGAAAAGTGATACGATAAGCGTTGCACCTAGCAAGCACGAGGCAGAGTCTCAGAAAAGAATCAAAACACTTGGTGAGAGCTAGGCAGGAACGTATAAGAAATGCAATCTGCAAAGGCGAAGGTTCCTTCCCGAATGATGCCCAGGTGAGGATATTGCTACATAGATACGTGTCCCTTTGAGCAATGATTGATTGGATACATTCTGTTCTTTCAGCTTGATCGTGAAAGTATTGTTCAGCTACACTATATTTTAATAATGAAAAACACATGTGGACTTTTTTTCCCTCGGGGTGGGAAAAATAGTAGATACCCGCAATTGTAATTTAAGGGTAATCATATCAAACTTGGTGAAACTACGAAATATCTAGGAATTATTTTTGATTGCAAATTAAGTTTTGCAGAACATTTTAAGCATATACATAGAATCACTGATAACATTTTAAAATGCTGTAAGTATAGTTTTAGTGCTGATACTTTGAATAGAAAGAGTTCCACCTTAAGAGAGATATTTAGAAATGTGATCATCCCTAAAATATTTTATGGAATCGGAGCTTGGGGCTGCCGTGCGGACGAGGTACTTAGGATTAGAATGAAATTGGACACCCTGCAGAGAGGCTGGATGCTTACCGTTGCAAGAACCGTTTCGACTGACGTTGCCTGCGTCCTTGCAGATGTTCCGCCCCTCTCGAGTTTACTGCAAGAAGTTTCTATTAGCTAATAAAATTATTAGAGATAACGAAATTGGACGACAGTACTCACAAGTAAGGCCTTTCAACAAGAGAATGAGATTATTATTCACCCAATGACACGATTTGGATTATTTTATGATTTTGAGTTTCTTCTGGTGGCGAAAAAGACGTTTTACAGATGGTTCTGGAATTGATGGGGGAGTGGGTAGCGCTGAGCGCTGTGGTAATTTATTTTCATAGAGTGGAGATAGCCAGTGGGAAAATAAAACTTAAACTTCGGAATTCGGTTTACCAAGTAGAACTATACACATTGACAGAGTCTTAGAATTGGATTAATAAAAAATAACATTTCGATGTTTTATAAATATTTTTACTGATGCCCTATCTGCGCTTCAGGCACTCGCCCAACCAGATCATAAAAATCGACTGCTTAATGAAATAAGATTTGTTAAAAAAGTATAAAAGAAAACATATTGTTAAATTACACTGAATAAAAGTAATCAGCGGAATTGTCGGAAATGAAGGAGCGGACAGCCTTGCTGAAATGGCGCAACTTGGGGATAGGACCGATAATTTTCATATCCAAGATTCCAGAAAAAAGACTATTGCTGAAATGGAAAACCGGATTTATACAGAATGGAATTTTTGTTGGGAATTCTCGTATAAGAAAAAAAGAGTTAATCTACAGAATAATGATAAATGCTTAATTTGGGATAAGTTTGGGCACGCCAGGCACTTCGTCGATGAATGTACGCTTACCCGGAGTGCAAGAGAGAAATATAGAAATAATTTTAAGGAAGATTTTAAAAAGAACTATTCAAATTTGAAAGATTTTGCAGAGACAATAATGAAGATTATAAGTACGAACATAGATAGAATTGGAATTAGGCACTGAACCTCAGATTTTGGACTTTATATGTTTTTTCTGATATTTTTTTTTCTCTATCCAGTCCCATTTTTTGATCATACGGCCGGCTTGTTCCGGCTAGGACGATCGGGGCTGCGTCCTTATAATAATAATAATAATAATAATAATATCATGTGAGGAATGATGTCTATTAAAACAAAGTAATCAATAATTACGCCGGCATATAGCTTGAAAATTAACCGATGATATATTTTGTATTTGACTGAGCTTAAATCAATTCTTGTCCAAAATGATGATAGCCCCTATAAATAATCACATTTAGTAATGCTCGACTGACTATGTTGAGCTTCTTTGCCTTCTTTACATCACATTACGACGTGAATCCCATTGTACGTAGTGCTACTGCAATGCGTTCTACATGATATGGTCTTTTGCCCAATTCTTTCGCTAGCACCGTATAAGTAATGTGGCGTTTGACAAAATAATTCACTCATTTGACTGCATGAATTATTATACTCTCCTCATAGTAAAATCTTCTTACGGTTAAAAATAGATCAACAATAAGGTGAGTTTTTTTAAATTTTTTTATAACGTTGCCTTTTTTTTTCCAATGGTTAGGCAAAAAGTTACAAAGAATTAAAATCTTATAAACAACGTTACAAATAGAACTGCCAACATAAAAACCGAAGTCATTGCCTAAAGAGCGGCGTTCTTACTTTCCAGTGCCTAGGCTCTTCTGTTAGACCAAGAAGAGCCCATATAGGAGAAAGTGGGCAACTTTTAAAATAAAAGTTTCAGCGTTACAGGTGACCGTAGTTTGTTATCCTTCACTCATATTATTACAAATTGAATTTAGTGTAATAACTTGTTTAACGCGCAAAGAAAATAAACTTATTAAATCGAGAATTATTCAGATATAGATATGCTTCATGTGGATTCATATCCAAATTGCAAACAAACTTGTTAAGTTATTCAAGTAAACTTATATAGTTATTTTTGATAAAAATGTTTATTTTCATTTTATACAAATAATTAATTAATTTTCATGAGTACATTAAGAAAACGTAGCTAAATATGAAATCTTTTGTGGAGAATTTATTCTTTTACCTTTAATCTTCTAATCTTTTGTGAGGAATTTAATCTTTTATGGAGAATTCCATGAAGTAAGAAATTAAATCATAAAACAAGAGAAATTTTAAAAGAAACGACAGTAACAATTGCAGATATCCGTGGGGTACATCCAATTTGCAAATAGTGATACTCATTTGATGATATTAAAAATATAACACCATTAATATCTGCGTACATATATGTTGAACAAGGGAAAAATAAAGACAGATACAACAGAGTACATACATTATGTACGCACATAACACATAACATTAAAATTATTTTATTTTAGATTATTTATATTATTAAATAATCGCGAATTCTTGAAAGTAATTACAGTTCTATTTAAATTATTTGTTGGATTTAATAATTATGATGCGAACATATTTGTAATATTGCCTTGAAAGCTCTTTAAGCTTTGGTCTCTTTTACTGTTGCATTGCTTTAAGAAACTTCATAGAAGGTAACATAAAATACCTCACAATGTTTTTAACCTAATGTTCTTAATGCATTATGACATGTTTTTTTTTTCGAATGTGACAAAATTGTGTAATTAGCAGTTAATTAATGTCAATATCAATAACCATTTTTTGAGACAAAGACTAAAACATATACGAGTATAATTTTATTCCATAACTTTGAAAAAGGCCTATATGTTCTTGATATCTATGAACGTTTAATTATCGTTGCAAGTATAAATTAGAAGGCGGGGTGATAATTCATGTATTTCTGAATAAAACAATTTTTTGCTTTCGAGGCTGAAAGAAAAGCCAATCGCTTATTTCATTCTTTTATGGAAAAGAAGATGAAAAAAATACTTTAAAATGTTTTAGTAATGAATTAAAGTGACACGCACTGCAAATAGTAAATATATGCAAATTAAAATTATAAGCCGAGTTACATACCCCAAAATATTAAGTCTTAGATATTAATGAAAAGTTATGAAAATCAACACTTTAAATTGCTTCTTAAAAGTACTCGAGAATTTCATATATTTTTTAAATTTGGTTTTATAAATGCAGATTATTAAATAACTGCGCTTTTATTTAACATATTTTTTCCAAACAACACGCTAGTACTTATCTCTTGTCGTTATAATAATTTTATGCAAAACGACACTCTGTTTGACATATAGGCTGTGAATATAATTCAGTCGCTTTCAAATATATTCTTTATGCAGGGTTTTGTTATTGGTAAGGAAACATTTCGCCTTTAAAAATTGCAGTGCACTTTAAGCATTCAAATAATGTAACCTTCTTTTTCAGTGGAAATCTCTAAAATTTACCGCACTTCTAATTAATTAAATTATATTACACTGTTCTTAATAGTAAAGACAAATGTCTTTCAAAACACGCAAATTTTAAACTGTGACTATTTCAATATGTTTCTTTCACTTGTTAAAACCAGTTAAGTATATCAAAAATGCATAAATAATATTTTTGGAAAATCTTCATTATTTTGGCTTTTACTAAAATTCACTTGAAA